TTATTTTTAACTTGTGCATATTTTTATATTCTTGCTAAACTTGTGAAATTAAATTTGCGCAACTTTTTTTTAATTATTGAACTTAATAATTTCGATGGCATTAATAAATCACGCGTTAGGTGTGGCTGACTGCGCCACTAACCTGGCACACATTCAAGACGTGCTTGATTTATAATCATTTGACATGCATAAAATGGTTATATTCTGATTACTGATGCATAGATTTTATTGGTTTTTTTTTTTTTTTGAGATCTAACGCTAATGATACTCAAATGTTGGTCATTCTATTGTAGGTCATGTCCAACTTAAATTTTATAAGTCATAATAGGTCATAATCTATATTTGGACAATCATAGTCCAACACGGAAATCACTTTTGTCAATACAGCAATAAGCATTTATAATGGTAATCGATATCGATATTGTACGGAAAATCATTATCGCTAATATGATATAATAGATATAATAAAGACATATATATATAAGATTTGTGTAATATAGAAGATAAAAAAAATCTATATAAGTGATGGCTAATAATGCATTACAAATGTACTGTATAAGATCAGATATTTTGAATCGAGATTTTTACAAACCAAAATATTTGATCTGAATATAATGTCTAAATTCACCGCCCCAACGAATCTTGTACCCATAGAACAAAGCAGTGATACTAAAATTACTGTTAATGGAACTTCTACCCAGGCTACCTTCGCCGTTAAGGCCGGCCTTGCACAAATGTTAAAGGTTCGCTTCATTATTTATTCGCACAATTACGCGAGAAAAAACTAACTTATGATTCAATTTTAATAATGCAAAAGGGAGGCGTCATTATGGACGTTGTTAATGCTGATCAAGCTAGGATTGCCGAGGAAGCTGGAGCAGTAGCTGTAATGGCATTAGAACGTGTTCCTGCCGATATTAGAAAAGAAGGTATACCGTTTTTTCTTAATGTCAATACGTTGCCGTTAGGCTGTTCATGGCAGTGTTTTCTTATATATTAGGCTGTTTCACGATAGTATTTTTTTTTCTTTAGGTGGAGTGTCCCGTATGTCAGATCCAAAAATGATCAGAGAGATCAAAAACGCAGTGACCATTCCAGTAATGGCCAAAGTAAGAATTGGCCATTTTGTCGAAGCTCAGGTATAAGTTCAATATTGACACACAGTCACAATTTGATAATAGCATAGTTACTAATGTTTAATAAATTTATAGATTCTTGAACAAATTGGCATAGATTACATTGACGAATCAGAGGTTCTCACTCCTGCAGACGAACAGCATCACATAAACAAACATAATTTTAAAGTTCCATTTGTGTGCGGAGCCAAAAATTTGGGGGAAGCACTTCGTCGCATTTCTGAAGGAGCAGCCATGATACGTACAAAAGGGGAAGCAGGTACGGGAAATGTTGTGGAGGCAGTCCGTCACATGCGAACTATTACTAGTGAAATCAGAAAAGCTTCTACAATGAGTGATGAAGAGTTATTCGGTTACGCTAAAGAACTACAAGCGCCATATCATTTATTGAAGGAGACAGCAAAATTGAAAAGGCTTCCAGTTGTAAATTTCTCGGCAGGGGGCTTAGCAACGTAATTTAAAGTTTGATATACACCTTTTTTTTTAAAAAAAACCTCGGAACTGAAAAATTTATTGCGCACATTTCATTACATATTTAGGCCAGCAGATGCTGCAATGATGATGCAGCTCGGGTGTGATGGAGTTTTTGTCGGTTCAGGAATATTTAAATCCGGAGATCCGGCAAAACGAGCCAAAGCTATTGTTCAAGCGGTTGCACATTATAATGATGCAAAAATTTTAGCAGAAGTATCAGAAGGACTCGGAGAAGCGATGGTAATTATTTAAAATTATGAAAAATAATCGACATAATATAATGCATTTAAAAAATATTAAAATTTATTTATTATAACAGGTTGGTATTAATATTGATACCTTACCAGAAAATCAGCTTATGTCAAAGAGGGGTTGGTAATAAAATTAATAATAAAAAAAATTAAAAAGTCAGAAATTATGTAATGCGGGCCAAAATTTTGAAGATCCTCTGCCGTTAGCCAATCAAAATCGAGGATCTGCCGCGCATTTTTTGTGCGGCACCTAGGTTCAATGTTATTTCACACGATAATAGCGATGCTGCTTTTTACTTTCCTTATTTGAGAGAGCTGCATCGATAACCAATCAGAGCAAATTTTTAAAAAAATTCTAAACCTGATCTCGTGGTACTAATAATGCTCGAAATTTTAAATATTTCTTCTAAATAAGGAATTCAAAAAATGGCCATGATATAATATTATCATATTGGCACATAAAAAAACTTTAGGACATAGTAGCACTAATATGAGTAGATGAACTATTGGGCGCATCGGCAATGTTACCCTCTATGGTAATGATTCTTAGTTATTTATCTGCACCTATATCCAAGTCTCTCGTTATAGTGAAGTGATCAGTTCTTTTAATAAAATTTACTATACTGTATTGAGAGTTTTATTAGTAAATTTTCACTATAACGAGTGATTGTCTTCTGCTCGGTCTATTGCCGATCATTGCCTATAATTCAAACCATCGATATCCGTTTAATTTTTCTATCATAAAGTTAGGATGAATCCATTCTGGTAACATCCTTTTTATATTTCAAAAGATCAAAAAAGGAGGTCACCATATGTCATTACTGAAATATCCAAATATGACGATTTTATGAAAGTAACCCATTATAATTTTATCATCACTTGTTTATAAATCATTTGCAATAAAATCATTTTCGTTTAACCGATAAATGCTATCCAAGTGGGTCATAAATTGCACTATTATCAGACGGAGGATTAATTCTATCATGTACCTTATAATAAACCACGGTAGAATCTGGGAAAGCAATAGCTAGAGTGATACTGTGTAAATGTTTATTTTTTAGTGAAAATAAATCGAAAAATCGTATTTATATAAAAAATAATAATAACCTTTTTATATTGTTCGGATTACAATCTACAAAAAGAGAAGGAAACGTTCGTAATTGAGAAAATAATTGTGTTATCCTATTTTAAAAAGGACAACAAATGATTTTATTATTCTTATTGCAACAATAATTGTAATTGCAATTATCGAAAGTTTTACTTTTCAAGTGACCAAATTTCGGTTGACGCACAAGGTACTATGATTATCATCTGAGTATTCGACTGTATTTTGAATTTGTTACTCTATTAATAATGTCAAATATTTAATGATTTTACAAATCATTTATTCATACTTTAGTTCTCCCGAGTAAAACACATCTTTGTAAAGGTTCAATGTCTTTAACTTTTACTTCAGCCCACGATTTGACTTTATAAAAGTGAATATTAATAATCAGCAATAAACTGAATCAAATTGGTTTGTTTAATAATATTATTACCAGTGGTTAAGTCAAGATATACTTGTGAAAGATTAGATGCTTCTTGCGGATATTTATCGCAATATGAAGAAATTTGATCAAGCTTCATGGGTGAAAATTCATGTGGTTGATTAATTTGGCCAAGTTAACATGTTAATGTGATTATCGTTATTGACCCAATTAAATCAATGAAATATGAAATACATAATCATAGGACATGTCACGCAGACTGGCAAATTATAATAAAAAAATTATAAATTACTATAAACTTTAAACTTTAAACTCTAAATTCCACATTATTCTCAACTTACATATGGTGCCGGAGCTTATACCAATTTCAAGTCTTACACTACGAAATTTCGAAAATGTCCGGTTCCCGGTTCAACTGATCCAGATTTAGGTTACGTATAATCAAAATTTGCATATTTGAAAAATTTTTTATTGTATTGGAAGTTTTTTTTTTAAATTGATAAATTTTAAAATGCAAAAAAGAACTTACGTACCTGATCAAATCTCAGGAACAGCAATTAGCATATAAAAAAACAGGCCAGGAAAAAAGATAAGCTCGTTATAAATTCGGCATTGATTTCAGATAAAATAAGTGTATTTATTTCAAAATAAGCAACGTACAAATGGGGGTTTCAGAATTAATCACACCCTAAATTAAATATAACCCCAAAATTTAAATTATAAATACTCCGACATGATAATTAATGCCCTAAAATTTTGGGCTGTGAACAGAATCCGCCGTGATGTTTTATTCAAAAATTTTCTTTTTAGAATTCCGAATCAGAAAATTAAATAGTTTTTTTTTTGATAAACATTCATCGGTAAACGATTATGTAAATAAGTATATATATATACTTTAAAAAATAGAATTTGTACGTTGCTATATCGAGAGTTTCTTATATCGAAGGTTTCTTATATCGAGAGTTACTTGTATATACATCGGGTAACAAACTATCTTTATGCTCATAGTTGATAAGTACCGTAAAACTCGAAAAATAAGCACAGTACCCTTTACCCTATTTTTTTCAATTTCAGATTAACGGAATAACCTGAGTAAAGTTTTTACGGTATTTGCAATCATATTGACAAAAATCTTTGATAGAAATAATGTAATCACTAAATTAAGTACCGTAAACTAAGACCCAGGACTGTTACATTTCACCGATTTTAAAACCTATAATACAGTACATGACTGAGAGTTTATATCATAGAGTAGTAATTTGAAACGCATACACACAACATACAATCTAGATGTAAAAAAAAGAACCATCTTAATTAAGAAAATCTCACCCGAGTCTAGTACATAATAGGTCAGATATCTGGATGTCCAGTTTACAGTAATAAAAAGAAGAATTTTAGTAGAAATGATGATTAAGAAACTATAAATTTTCATGAAACGTGGCTACTGGAAAAAGATGTACTGGCTAGTTTATATAAAAACCCTAACCTATAATCTAAAATGACTAACCTAATATTAAATTATTTAAAAATCTTTTAGTCATAAAATTTCGCATGACATCTATAAAACAAATAATACCTTTATATATATAACCTATCAAAAATCAGCAGAGATTGGACTCGTTGATGGAATATCAAGTGTTGCAGAATGTTATCGAAACGGAATTGGAATAACAAGGGATCTAGATAGAGCCAAATATTGGTATCAAAGGTAAATTTTAATTAAGCTTAAGCTTAAGTTTGTGTATGTGACGCATCACATACAAAATACTAATTTTTTACAGGAGGATCCTGGAGTTAGGGTATCCATACTGGTTAACAGGAGCTATAGTAAAATTATTAACTGGGCACTTTTTACACTTTTTACTTAATGAACGACTATGGGTTCATTAGTAAATTTTTAGTGATCTTGGGCAAAATCGATCAATTCCGGCCCATCCGACGCATTCCGGCCCTGAATTTTGGGATCTCCCTGTATGTTATTCCAGGATTCCCTTATGTCAAGAAAATCCCGGGCTAAGGATCTACAAAAATTAGGCTCGGAGTCAATAAAAATAGCAGGATCTTGCAGATCTTGCAGATCTTAACGTAAATCTAAACAAACGCCAAAAATAAAGAAATCATAAATAACGCA